TCTCTGAGGGGTTGTACCCGCCATGGACATCAGCCATGCTTTGGGGGCAGGGGAAGAAGCAGAAGCAGCGCTTGCTGCCAGAGGCAAGCTTTGTCTCCTGTGGCCCACAGTCCAGAGGTCACTTGCTTAGCCATGGGGGACAGTTACAATTCCTGAAACCAGACAGGGTGGTTCCCAACATCTCCTTGGCTGCCATGTCACACCAATGTTGCACAAACCATTCTCTTTATATTAACAATGGTTGGACTTTTACCAGACAGACCACTTCTATATATCTATATCTATACCTATATCTACATCTACATCTATATCTATGGCTATACCTATATCTATATCATCTGTATCATCTACATCTATATCTATATCATCTATACCTACCATTATCTATATCCATTTATATACCTATATCTATCATCATCTACCTATATCTATCTATATTTTAGTCTATCTATCTATCTATCTATCTGTCATCTATTTAGGAGGGGTGTCCAAACTTTTGGTGTCTGTGTTCCACACTGGAAGAAGAACAGTTGTCTTGGGCCACACATTAAACACATTGAAACGTGTAGTCACAAAAACATCTCATAAGGGTTTAAGTAAATTTAAATTTTGTATTGGGACACATTCAAAGCCATTCTGAGCTACATGGAGCCAGTGGGCCACAGATTGGACATCCCTGATTTAGATATTATATAGATCTATAGATATAAATAGATATGTATCTATTTATAGGTCTATATAGCTACATATCTATATATATATAAATAAGATAGATATAGAAATATATAGATATTGATATAGTTGGGATAGATATATAATAAACAAATGATTATTTTCTCACATCTAAGTATTGTCTGAAATTCATTCAACATGAAATAAAGCGCTTTAGATCCCAGGCCACTGAACGGTGAACTCCAAGTGAGAATACTTACATAGATTATGATGTTAACAATTCCCTCTAGACATGTTCAAATTAGAAAGAGAAAGGTTAAAAAGCAAGTAACAATACAAGAATTAACTAATGCTAATGTGCAGGTGGTTTGTGAGGTAAAACAATTCTCTGTTTTGATTTGGTAGGTTATCATAGTGCTTATTTAATATGATTTTAATTGGAAGGCCATTTGGTTAGATGTGGATACTGCTTGTTATTCTTACTGTTTAGAGCATTTGAATCTGAGTGTGTACGGCAGGAAAAGTCATCTTTCCCTCCACCCTTGTAAGTTGGGTCAGGGGCCCCTACAATAAACAGATTAACGAGAGAAAAACAAAGAGAAGTTAATTAATGCCTGTATTTTATACGTATAAGAGAGCCTTCACAGGACAAAATAAAAAAATCAGGTGTTGCTGAGCAGCTTTTATGCTAATTTATATAAAAAGTGGTAAATTGTGAAACTGACAAGGCAAAGGGGCTTGGGTGGGGGGAAGCTATGAAACAGGGAAAATCAGGGTTCAAGTGTTTGCTTGAAGACTCTTCTGGGCTGATTTTGTATGGAGACTTTATATCGAGACTTTTGTCCGAAAGGAGAAAAGATAGAGCAAGGTCTTCCTGCATTTGCTGTTGCTTAATTGTCTTCAGCTCAGAATAGTTTATGTCAAAAAGGTGTATTTGGGGATGACGTATTCTGGTTTCTTCAAGAGCACTGATACAAATTCATTCATCAGTGTACAGAGTTTTCTCACTGGCTCCCGGAGGTACAAGCATTGTGTTTTGTTGGCAAAGCGAAGAATACAAAGAGAACTGAGATCTGACCACAGCCTTCGGTGAGCTTAGGCATCTAGTGGGGTGCTTTACAGAAAGCTCAAGTCAGGAAGAGGGAATTCTCTCCTCTATCATTTTCAGTTTTTTATGGCAGGACTAATAATAAATTTGATGCAAGACCAGATTAATATGAGAAAAACCAATTTAACACATGTGCATAGAGGGTCAAAAATTAATGTTCACAGAAATAACTAGAGCAGGCAGCTTTTTATACATTTTAGACAAAGAAACAATACATTGGTGAAGAAGTGACAGGACAAAGAAAATTAGGTTTGGGTGCTCATTAGCAAGGAATCTAAACAGAAAGAGGGCTTGAGGCAGTAAAGAAGTAACGAAAATTGTTTATAACTGTTTCTCGGCCCTGGGTTCCTTAACTCTAGGATATCGGTGTCATTCTCAGCTCCCCTGAAGAGCACAGCTTTCAAAGGGGAGATTTATTTCCTGCCTTCAAGGAGACAAGGAAGTGTCAATGTGCCATTTTTGCAATGGATGCTTGTCAAGTAACTTTAACTCAAAGTACTCAATATCGCATTGCGGGGTATTTGGGAGTGGCCGTACTGGGCCCTAATACTCACTCCTAACATATTTAACAATTATTTATTTAAATGTTTCTTTCTTTTGAAAAAAAGTTATTTTAGTTGTTGTCCAAGTACAGTTTACTGTCTTTTACTCTCATCCCTGTCCACCCCCCATGCCCTCCACCTCCCTCTCATTTCCACTCCCCTTAGTTTTTGTCCATGTGTCCCTTATACTAGTTCCTGTAAATCCTTCCCCCTTTCCCCTGAAATTCCCTCCCCTCTCCCCTCTGGTCACTGTCCCCCTGTTCTCGATTTCAGTGTCATTGTTTTTATTCTGCTTGTTTGTTTGTTTTGTTGTTTAGCTTCCTGTTAAAGGTGAGATCATATGGTATTTGTCTTTCACCGCCTGGCTTATTTCACTCAGCATAATGCTTTCCAGTTCCATCCATGCTGTTGCAAAGGGTAGGAGCTCCTTCTTTCTTTCTGCTGCATAGAATTCCATTGTGTATATATGTACCATGATATTTTGATCCATTCATTTACTGACAGGCACCTAGGTTGCTTCCAACTCTTGGCTATTGTAAATTGTGCAGCTGTGAACATTGGGGTGTATAGATTCTTTTGGATTGGTGTTTTAGGGTTCTTGAGATATAATCCTAGCAGTGGAATTGCTGGGTCAAAAGGCAGGTCAATTTTTTTTTCTGAGAAAATTCCATACTGTTTTCCATAGTGGTTGTACCTGTCTGCAATCCCACCAACAGTACACTAGGGTCCTCTTTTCTCTACAACCTCTCCAGCACTTGTTGTTTGTTGTTTTGTTTATGCTGGCCATCCTGACTGGTGTGAAGTGGTATCTCATTGTGCTTTTAATTTGCATCTCTCTGATACCTACTGATACTGAGCATCTTTTCATGTGTCTCTGGGTCCTCTGTATGTCCTCCTTGGAGAAGTGTCTCTTCAAGTCCTTTGCCCATTTTTTAATTGGGTTGCTTGTCTTCTTAGAGTGGAGTCGTGTAAGTTCTTTGTATATTTTGGAGATTAAACCTTTGTCTGAGGTATCATTGGCAAATATGTTGTCTCATACAGTTGGTTCTCTTTTTATTTTACTTTTTAAAAATATTTTATTTATTTATTTTCAGAGAGAGGGGAAGGGAAGGAGAGAGGGAGAGAAATATCAATGTGTGGTTGCCTCTCATGTGTTCCCCACTGGAATTGGCCTGCAACCCAGGCATGTGCCCTGGCTGGGAATCGAACCACAATGCTTTGCTTCACAGGCCTGCACTCAATCCACTGAGCTATACCAGCCAGAGTTCTTTTTATTTTAATACTGTTTTCTTTAGCCGTGCAGAAGCTTTTTATTTGATGAAATCTCATTTGTTTATTCCTTCCTTCATGTCCCTTGCTCTAGGGGACATATCAATAAAAATGTTGCTGCATGAAATATCTGATATTTTCCTGCCTATGTTGTCCTCTAGGACTTCAATGTTGCCATGGCTTATACTTAAATTTTTTTCCATCTTGAATTTATTTTTGTGTATGGTGTAAGTTGGTGCTCAAGTTTCATTTTTTTTTTTTTTGCACATAGCTGCCCAGTTCTCCCAACACCATTTGTTGAAGGGGCTATTTTTACTCCATTTTATCTTGCTGCCCCCTTTGTTGAATATTAATTGACCATAGAAACTTGGGTTTATTTCTGGGCTTTGTGTTCTGTTCCACTGGTCCATGCCCCTGTTTTTATGCCAGTACCAGGCTGTTTTGATTACAGTGGCCTTGTAATACAATTTGGTATCAGGGCTTGTGATCCCTCCTCCTTTGCTCTTCTTTCTCAAAACTGTAGCAGCTATTCAGGGTCGTTTATGGTTCCATATAAATTTTTGAAGTATTTGTTCTATGTCTCTGAAATATGCCATTGGTACTTTAATAGGTATTGTATTGAATCTGTAAATCGCTTTGGGTAGTATGGACATTCTGATGATGTTAATTCTTCCAATCCATGAACAAGATACATATTTCCATTTGTTTGTGTCTTCATTGATTTATTTCTTCAGGGTTGTGTAGTTTTCTGCATACAGGTCTTTCACCTCCTTGATTAGGTTTATTCCTAGGTATTTTATTTTTCTTTTTGCTATATCAAATGGGATTTTTTTCTTGATTTCTGCTTCTTCTGTTTCATTGTTGGTATACAAAAATGCCTTTGATTTTTACATATTGAGTTTGTATCCTGCTGTTTTGCCAAATTCATTTATTAGGTAGAGTATTTTTTGGTGGAATCTATAGAATTTTCCATGTACACTATCATGTCATCTGCAAACAATGACAGTTTTGTTTCCTCCTTTCTGATTTGGATGCCTTTTATTTCCTTTTCTTGTCTGATTGCTGTAGCTAAAATTTTCAATAGTATTGAATAGAAGGGGTGAAAGTAGACAACCTTGTCTTGTTCATGATCTTAGTGAAAAAGCTTTTAGTTTTTGTCCATTGAGTATGGTGTTGGCTGTAGGTCTCTCATATATGGCCTTTATTATGTTGAGGAATGCTCTGTCTATTCCCATTTTGCTGAGTGTTTTTATCATAAATGGGTGTTGTAACTTATCAAATGCTTTTTATGCATCTATTGATATGATCATGTGATTTTGTCTTTGCTTTTGTTCATGTGATGTATTACATTTTCTGATTTGTGAATATTGAACCATTCTTGCATCCCTGGGATGAATCCCACTTGGTCAAAAAATATGGAACGCTTCATGAATTTGCTTGTCATCCGTGCATAGGGGCCCTGACAATCTTCTCTGTATTGTTCCAATTTTAGTATATGTGCTGCCAAAGCAAGCACTTTAATGTTTTTTAACACTTAAAAATAAATAGAAATCTGTTTTTATACATATGTTATACTCCTTGGAGTTGGGTCACAGGTCAATGAAAGACAAACAGAAAATGCTAAAAAAAAAGGAGACAGCAACTGCGCTGATTTGATACAATGGGAAAACAGGGACAGATTATAAAGACTGAATGATTCTTAAACAAGGAAGAAAGCTAATACCAGCCATTATATTGCTCACTGCACGTGATGAGTAGACCAAATGAAATTATTGGCCACCTTTTAAAATATATAGTGTAATTGCATACTGAGAAATTTACATAGTTAAATTGAAGTATTGTATGATATAGATCTCATTTATTTCCTCCAGCTCCAGTTTCTTAAAGTAGAAACTATTTTGTATGTAAAGGCATAATATTATGCTAAATAGGCTCAAAGAGGACAGTAATTAGAAATCTTTGACAAAAATGTGATGCTTGGATAAGAAGAAGTGATAACCCATATATGTGTTTTTATAGTTATTAAGATATTTAAAGGCTTATGTTATAATCTAAAAGTATTTAAAAGCCAGTAAGATTATTGGGAATTACAGAGTTGTTACATATATGGATTGTTTGAACTGAAATACCCCTGAACTCATCATGGCTGTTATGTTTGTGCCCCCAAACCCAATATGGCTGACAGAGACAAAGGCTGTAGAATGGCTCATGGAAGTGTAGGGTAGCTGTAGAATCCATAGCCTCAATGTGACATTGAGGAGGGGCAGAACATGCCACCCAGAATGTGCCACTGTGACATGCAGACTGCTTATAGCTAAAGACAGTCAGGTCCGGAATACTCAGCAACAGCTTTTTACCTTCCCCATACCTGTCTGAAATAATGTAGGTAGGTGGCCTGTAAAAAAAAGGGAGCTTTCACCAGAGATAATGTTTTATATTGGAAAGACTTATCCACATGGCTCTTCTCAACTCTCTGTGGATTTTCTTTCTTCCCTTTGAAGTTCCAGACCACTGCCTCCTTCTTAGATCAGAATGGTGTACATTTCATATTTTTATGGGGTTCCCCTACATATGAAATTTATTTTTCTCCTGTTAATCTGCCCTATGTTAATTTAATTATTAGACCAGCCAAAGAACGTAGAGAGGAAGAGGGAAAAGTTTTTAGCTCCTGCACCTGAGGCCATCTGCTCAGGATGATGGCATCTTCCTTGCTGAACACCACACACAGCAGAGCACACCACTGCTGCCACTGATACCCTCACCCGTGCCCTTGCCATCGGCCAGATAGATTTCTGATGCAATTTCTTTTTGTGGTGAATTTTCATTTTAGTCAAAGCCACACACACCTATCCTAGCTGCACACATTCTGGGAAATCAGTCTCTGATCTTTTCTTCATCTGCACTGGGACACTCTTTGCCTTCTACCAATCCTCTTACATATAGAAAAACTTTAAATGTAAAATGAAGAGAATGTTTATTCATCTTAGTCATTTAAGTATGAGTACTTTGATCTAAAGCATTATTACCAATATTCCTCGCTTAAAATGCATATACCACACTTTTTGCAATGAAAAATTTTGAGGTGCCCTGAGATTTTTTGTTCCATTTGTGCTCTAATCAAGACTATATTCTATCTCACTTTCATCTACTTTTGATATATGACTTCACAAATGACATCCAGAAAGCTGTGATTTTATAAATCCTGTGTATTAAACTAGGATCAAACATCTATTGTTCTTGAGTCAGCCAAATTGGCCCCTAAGAGCTGTGTGAAATTGTAAAAAACTGTTCTTTTTTATACTAGGTGCTCTAATTATTAAAATACAAATATTAATTTAAGTATCAGTAATATCTTTTCAAAGTCTGATATTCTCTGAAATATTTTAATACAATGGGGACAATAATAGCTCTCATATTAAACATATCTTATTTTACATGAGTAATCCCAATGTTCTTATGCAAACATTTCATAACATACCAAATGTTCAAAAATTATTTTATTATGTTATTTCATAAGATTAAATTTTTTTGAAATTAAAATTGTATTAATATTAGATTTATAGTAATGTAAGTTAAATTTTTTTATTACATTCTATAATCCTCTCAGAAAATGTTATCTAAGTTTTGGAGACCTTTAACAGCACTGTTATCACAAACTCTGAAGTACCACCCTGGTAATTTAGGACCGCTTGTTGAAATTTCAACAGTATAACTCCAAATAGATGCACAAAGTTATTTTTTATCCAGTTGGATTTAGAGGTTGAGACAAATATTAATTTTGAACTTTTTATTCTTGCTGATAGGCACTGCCATATGTTTGTAAACATGCCTAACAATTAATAAGATTAATTCAACAGTTCTTACTAGGTTTTGTCCTTTTGGTTTAGTAACTTTGTGTAATTTATAATTTATACTTTTCTAAGAGCCTTGGAAGAGAAAAATGTCTCTCTGCTATGGTCATGGTTCCACTGAAGAATTTCCCAACTGCTGACCTTTAGTTTCAGACAAAAATAATTCATACAAATTGTGAATTTATTACAGCTTATAAATATTTTTAAAGTAAAAACCCTTACAAAAATAAACCAAAGTATAATCAAAATGTTCAATTTTGGCCAAGATTGAAGAAAGTAATTAGGTATTTTTCTCAATATAGAGATATTTCATAAATATTAATAAATGTTCAATTCTTAATTTTCTCTCAATATCATATTAATTTCTATCTACCCCTTTCACTTGTAGGTATTTCTATATTCAGCCAGAATAGAAATTTGCAAGCAAATGAGGGGAATTATTAAGAAATGTTGTTATTCCAGTGAGGTCATTTTATTAAGAAATTAAATTAAAACTGGTCCCTATTGGTTAGGGTGTCAGGGAATGGACAGGTAGGCTCTATAATTTGGATATTCATTTGAAACAGGAATGAACCAGGCAGACTAATATTCGTATAATAAATTTATAGAATTAATATATGCCAGCAACCATATTTCCTTCTTAAGTAATTTTGTTTAATGACTTTTTAAATTAATATTGCCATATTTATTTTCACAATGAAATATGAAATCAATATAATCTGAGTAGCTTTGGTTCAAATCCCACACATTTTAAGTGATCTGAGGCCCTGGCTGGTGTAGCTCAGTGGATTGAGCACAGGCCTGCAAACCAGAGGGTCGCAGTTCTATTCCCAGTCAGGGCACATGCCTGGGTTGCAGGCCGGTTCCCGCTGGGGGACCCACAAGAGGCAACCATACATTGATGTTCTTTCCCTCTCTCCCCTCTCTCCTCTTCCTCTCTAAAGATAAACAAATAAAATTTTTTTAAAAAGTGATGTGGGCATTACTGCAAACCACAGTTGCAGTATTCTAAAGCATACTTCTCTGTGCCTACTTCTGTGATTGCCTACCTCATAGACTCACTTAATTTATCCCTAGTAGAAATAGATATTTGTTGCAGTTTTCACTGGTATCACCTACAGCCAGAGACAATGGGTTTGTTTTTAGCTGCTATAAATCTTTTTAATAAACAGCATATTCTCCTTATGGATTCAAGTCCATTGGTGGCTCTTTAATCACGGACTTGATGAGCCATGTCATGTTGTTTATATAAGCTCAAAAATGCACATTCATTAAGGCTGGAGAGAGAAAATTTTAGTTTATGAACCAGGACTAAATATGTGAGGAGACACTTTTAGTATAATATGTAAATTACAGCCAAGGCTGCGAGTCTGCAACCCTATATATCTGGGAAAAGAAAGAGAAAGGAAATCTGGTTCCAAGATCAGAGATTGGGTGTGTTCAGGGTGGTATGGCCATAGATAAGAAAAAGATTTGAGAAGAGAGGTAGTTTTGCTATTTCACAATCAGGAATGATTTATCTTTTATGTTGAGTAAAAGATGGAGCGTTATCAATGTGGGGTATATTCTAAGTGTTCTGAGTTGTAGCATTCATATATATATATATATATATATATATATATGAAACATTGATATATTTGCTTTTTTAAAATTTTATATGCTTCATATTTGCCTTTTTTAAAATTTCTGTGTCCTACATAGAAGATTTGCCTAAAATGGAGTTTTCCTTTGAATTTTGATAACAAAAACACATTAAACTATGAGTGTTATAAGAGCCTAAATGTGGAATTTTATATGATTTTAATGGAGTCAAAGCAAGTAACCAGAAGAACAGGCAACAACAAAACAACTCATATTCTATAATAGTAATTCAGGTCAGAAAAAAATATTGACTGGTGATAATGAATTTAATTCTTCTTTTTTAAAATATATGTTACTGATTATGCTATTATAGTAGTCCCTTTATTCCCTTTATGCCCCTCCACCCTGCACCCCCACCTACCAAGATTCCCCCACCTTAGTTCATGTCCATGGGTCATATATATAAGTTCTTTGGCTTCTCCATTTTCCATACTATTCTTAGCCTCCACCTGTGTATTTTGTACATACCAGTTACTTTTTCCCTTTACCTTTTCCCCTATTCTACCCCTGTCCCTCTCCCTGCTGATAATTCTCCATGTGATCTCCATTTCTGTGATTCTGTTCCTGTTCTTGTTGTTTGCTTAGTTTGTTTTCATTTTTCCCCCCTTAGGTTCAGCTGTTGATAGTTGTAAGTTTATTGTCATTTTACTGTTCATATTTTTGATTGTCTTCTTTTTCTTAGATAAGTTCTTTTAACATTTCGTATAATAAGGGTTTGGTTATGATGAACTTCTTCAACTTGACCTTACTGGGAAGTACTTTATCTGCCCTCCCATTCTAAATGATAGCTTTTCTGGATAGGGTAATCTTGGATGTAGGTCCTTGCCTTTCATAGCTTTGAATAGTTCATTCAAGTCCCTCCTTACCTATAAGTTTTCTTTGGAGAGGTCAGCTGATAGTCTTATGGGAACTCCTTTGTAGGTAACTGTCTCCTTTTCTCTTGCTGCTTTTAAGATTCTCTCCTTATCTTTAATCTTGGGTCATGTAATTATGATATGCTTTGGTGTGTGATTCCTTGTATCCA